ACAATATGGTTCAAGGAGTGTTTGGGTTTGCTTAAAAAAGCGTTTTTCAGCTTTTGACTTAAAAAAAGTTGAAAAGAGTGTTTTCAAATGACAGCTTCTGCTTAAATTAATCACTTAAAAGTTAAAAGCTAGAAGCAGGTAGAAGGGTGCTTTAAACTGCTTCTCACTATTTCTATTACACAAAAAGTACTTATTTTACCAAACACTATCAACTTTTACTTTTCTAGAATCACTTTTTTTCTCAAACACTATCAACTTTTATTATTAACCACTTTTTCCAAAATCACTTTAAAAAATCACTTTAAAGTTGAAGCAATTGCAAACACTCTCTCAAGCTAGTGTTAAACTTGATGATTTTGGCTATTACTTTCATGTTAAAGTTGCTTGTCTTTTCCAATTTTGATAAACGGAGAAATCAAATTTTCCTTCTGGCACGCTAGAAAATTACGGAGGTGAAGAGCACATTTAACCTCTACATGGGGTACATACACCGTATACCTGATTGTACCTAACGAGTATTATTTTATACTCCGTAAGAAATACGTAGTAATCATTAGTACTAAATCATTGATTTGGTAGCATAATTGAGTATAAAATTGTGCAATAGAATTATAGAATATTATGATTTACACATGATATATATGCTACAAATCAATTTATTTATTTAACTGTATTATCATCAAAGATATTCATTGAGCTAATTGAGCTAATTTTATAATTTAATATTAATTATTAATAGTCATTTCATTTAAACAATATGCTCATCAAGTATGAACTAAAATACCAGACTGTATACTATACACATCCCATGGTGATCCTGGGCCTCCTGCCCTCCTGGTGGATCCACGGTTGCTTGCTTAAGAGTATTCACTTGAAACCGGTGGACGTAGCTCAACTGGTAGCGAGGGAGTGCCACAATAGTTATGTCTCGGGTTCGAATTCTGACAACTGTGATAAGGGGTTACTATGCTGAAAAATGCATAGGGCCTCTGCAAGTACCAGGGATGGAGCCCCACTCTTTATCTGTCAGGTTGTGATTATAGTCCAACTTACATCCTCCCATCGTGCTGTCTGGTCGGTGTTGGAGGCCCCTCAGAGATGGGGTGTCATCCTTTTTTTTAGAGTATTCACTTGAACAACCTAACTTTGGCAGAATTTGAATAGCGCAGAATATATTGTTGCTGGTCTGTTGTAGTGATGCCTCGGGTCCGGGCCGGGCCTAGGCCCGACCCGGGTCTGGATGGCAATGGGTTAGGCCCGGGACTGGCCCGATTGTCTACCGGTTCCGGGTCGGGTCGAGTTCTATTTTTGTTTTGTTTTGTTGATTATTTCATCCCATACCCCTACCCCCCATCCCTCAAACCCATCGGAAACACCTAGCCCAACCCATTAAAACCCAGTCCAAACAAAAAAGGCCCGAACCGGACCCGGCCGGGCCGGTTCACATTCAATCAGTCACGGAACCGCCCTGATTTCGTCCTTAAACCGGGCATAGACCTGGAACCGGTACACGGTTCCCGGGCCAGCCCACACAGTACTGGGTCAGGTTGGTTCCCGGGTCGGGTGGTCCGCATCGAGGCCATCACTAATCTGTTGCTTGAAGGAAATTGCTTATTTCAGATTTTGGAAGTGTCCAAGACTCCAAGATAGTTTTCCTTATATTTACTAATGTCTATATATTAGTATCTTTACCCGTGCCTAGGGGTGGACCGGGCCCGGTCCGGTTTGGGCCTGAGCCCAACCGGGCTTGGATGGTTTTGGGTAAGGCCCGAGAGTCTACCGGTTCCCAGCCGGTTTCATTTTTTTTTTGTGTGTTTTCTTATTTATTTCAACCCCCACCCCCCAAACCCCTTGGAAACACCCAACCCACCTAAACCCAACCCAAACCCAAAAAAACAAAAAAAAAGGTCTGAACCCATCTCTCCTTGGGAGGATCAGTGTGTTGAATTGGCTGATTCTTGGGGCATTTACCAATGCAGTGTCCCAAATGCAAGCATGCAATACAATACTCCTGCCTATTCTCATATATTATGGACTGTGAGAATCCAATATTTCCACAGTTGATCCAAAATTTAGTAGGCATTTCCTTAGTAAGATCTAGTTCCACACATATTCTAGCTACTGCAAGCCTAGAGAGACTAGCTATAGCCGATCAATTTTAAGAGGCTTTCCAATCAGATTCGCAATTTCAAATAAAGTTGTTTTGTCTTGCAAATGGATAGGATGCTCTTCCATTGCAAGCCACACTGGGACCACCGGAGATTCAACATTAGGTCTAATTTTGGTGTCCACTTTGTAACCCTCATCATATAACCCTGGATTACCCATGTTTGTCTATTCCATCTAAGGAAATCCTCTTCCAAATAAAATCTGATTAATATATGCTTCGGGTCCAACGTTCCCAACCGGAATTTTCCTTTGAATCCAATGAATTCAAAGGATTTTCGAATTATAGTGAGACTAGGCTTACCTTTGAAAAAGTAACCCACCAAAGCCCTGGTATGCTTATCCTCCAATTTGAGAGCATCCACATCATTAAAACTGATCGAAGGCATTCCTTTAAATCTAGATTTCTCTGGTTTCATTGTTGCACGATCCACCACAACATCCACAAATGATTTTTGTCCCCAAACTCCCCCTCCGACGTCAAGCGGCTTCACCACCGCCGAAGAAGCCATCTCTCGCCCCCCTACTTTTTCATTTCAACATTATCTAGATAAACTATTTTTTAATAGCCGCACATGTCTCGATCTTAATGGAGTAAGTGTGATATTACTTAATTTACTAATTGACAAGGTCTACCAAATCAATATCTAAAGGTAGATTAACTTTTTTTGTCTCATATTTATTTATACTTCATTCACAATTTATGTTTCACGTGGTTCAATGGGTTAGCACTCCCCAATCTTACCCGATCCGTGGTAGATTATGATTTTCATAGCTTAGATCGTCTAACTGTCTAATGGTCTCAAATGATGAGAATGATCTCAAACGATGCACATTATTTTTAATGGAGGTGCATATTACATTTATAGTTAAAAAATAATTTAAACTTTAAATGGTCAAGAAAGGTTTAATTTATTAACAAAAATGTCACTACATTTATTATTTATGATAGCGCATATTTCTACAGAATGCACAATTTTCAAATCTAACATTCCGGTTTATTCTAATTCTCTTTTTACACATTAAAATGTCTTCTCATTCGAACTCAACCTTATATATAATGTACAATTTTCAAATCTAACGTTCCTGTTCATATATAAAAATAATGCCAGAGTAATTTTTTTGGATAATTATTGTATGGAGTATATAGAAACAATAGTTTAATAAGGGTTGTAAGATAATAAGTATATTTGAAACATATTTTGGTAGTAAGGCATCAATATATATTGAAGACAATGAAAGTAAAAATAGTTGTTTATATTTTGGTTTACTCGCAGTCTGCATGAGTCAACCTACTGTACCTGCAACCCTTCCAAGTTAACTCACGGAACCGGTGAGATCATCGAATTAAAGAGTGACAACTCTAACCCATCATGAAACAGGATGAAATGGGCTAGCCCTATGGATTGAATTTGTTTTAAACTCTAATTGACGTAGTCACATACTCTGTACAATTCATTTCCTCTATAATTAAAAGAAAAAAATAAACACATGTTTTACCGTGCAATGCACATGTACACATACTAGTTAGTTATATTTGTATGAGTAAGTTTTATAAAAGAAGTATAACTTCACATACTTCATATATAATTACAATTATATTTATGTGGTGTCACTTGACATCACGTGGCACAATCTCTGATCCCTCGGCTCCCCTATTTAAGGAGTGTTTGGATCTACTTTTTAAAATTGTTTTTGCTCCTCTGAAGAACAGAAACAAGTATTGAAATGTTTGGTGAAAGTGCATAAGTAGTTTTGGGTGCTCCAAATTGCTCTTAGAAATAGTTTTTTAGAAGTTAGAGAGATCAACTTCAGAAAAAATGATTCAACTTCTACTTTTAAAAGAGAAGCAGAAGAAAAATCAATTCTAAACACCCGCTTACTTATTTATATGTCATGTTTCTACATTGTGAATAATTCCATTTTAATTAAATACTTTTGTTTTGGTTTTAGTAATATTTTGTTTTGTTTTTAAAGAACAATTTAGAAAAATTTTAAACCTGAGGGCCAAAACTTCCTTTTATTATTCTTATATACTACATACTCCTTCCGTCCCACTAAAATTGTCCTATTTTATCTTTTCGGTTTGTCTTATTAAGATTGTCCCACATCAAATTTGATCAAGTTTGTGTGACTCTAAATCATTATTACTTTATTCTTAGTTTTTTTAATTCAATATCAACCACATAAATCACTTTTTATTGGTTTGTGTGCTACTCCCTGTTGTCCCATTGTTAGGATATTTTTATTTGGACTGTAATTTGCTGGTCTGATCTGGTAATTTCTGGTCTCTTTGTATTTTTTATAACAATCCAAGTATGGTTTGGTTTGGTCTGATTTGTTCTGGTATGGTCTGGTTTGGAACAACTTACAGTCCAAGTAAAAACATCCTTAGTAGGACGGAGAAGCACTAGCTGGTAGTATTTTTTAGTATTTTCGACCAACTTACCCAAAGCAATAAAGATTCAGTGCCCGTTGGGTAGTCATCATTTTTGGCTTTTCAGGCTTATAAGCCAATTTTTTCACCAAACAAGTAACTTTTGGTTTTACGGCTGAAGTTACTTTTCTGGCTGTATTGACTGAAGTTACTGTATATGATCATTTTAGCTATTTTTTGTATAATTTTTTCTTTGTTTTATTAATAAAATACGGAGTATATTTTAAATTATTATTTTTCACAAATCAGCAGAATCAACCAATATAGCGACATGAGCCAGAACTTCATAAATTTCAGCAGAATCAGCCATTACAGCCGATTTGATTATCACCAAACGGGCTCTGAAAATATAGACATGCCAGTGGGCTGTAGCCCATTTATATTTACTAAGATGTGCCCGGAACAAATACACGAGCAAAAGCCCTAATGAAGAGAAAGCGGTGTATATATAAATAAACCAATCGCGTGACCTTGATAACATTGGCCGATCGACAACCTACAGCGCTCGCTCTCTGGAAACCCTTATTCCGGCCGAAGGTGACGGCAAGCAGCCCAGACAATGGCGACACCCAGAACTGTGAAAGACGTTTCTCCTCACGAATTCGTGAAGGCTTACTCTGCTCACCTTAAGCGTTCTGGAAAGGTACACTTTAATTTCTCCCATTAGCTTATCCGTTTTTGAATTATCACTTGTCACCTTAGCACGGAGTTTATCAATCAACTCCTGTTTGTACTTAGTTATATGTAATTAACATCAACATCAGGCAAGTTTTCTGATTTCTTTCAAATTCTGGATCAAAGTAATCCAATAGACAGGACTTTAGCCTTCACCTCATGAAGCAGGAAGTTCCAATTCTTCCAGGCTAGATGATGTGCATATGTTGTATTCATATTTCGCATTTTGTCAGTGGTTATATATATTGCACTTGCATTTTTGTATTAGCATTAAGATGTTTGTGTGGATTGTGTTTCATTTTTAAAACTATGAAACCATATCTGAAACTTTAGATAATATAGATAGATCGAATCAATTTTTCTTTAGCTTATTTGTACGTTAGCAACACTACAATTGGTTACTCGACGATCTAAGAACTTTAGTCTGCTGCCAGACATTTTTAAAGGATTTGCCACATTACCTCATCATGATTCATGAGGTAACAAAAAGTGAAAGTTTGCTTTTTTCATATCTTGTGTTCTCGTTAATGCTTTCTTAAATATCCATTGCATGTCTGCATATTCGATGCATGGTTTTCTCAACTTGTATAGTTTCTACAATTATTTAATCATGTTAATGTTCTTTTAGTTACCTCAATCTCCATACTCTTTACTTTTTTTCCACTAGCTGACTTATTACATGTCTGCTTATTACTTTTTGTTACCTCAATATCAATTACATGTCTCCATTCTTTTAGTCTTCTTATTACTAGTTACCTCAAAATCCATTGCATGTCTGCTTATTACTTGTTGTTCCACTAGATGGAACTTCCAGAGTGGACCGATATTGTGAAAACTGGTAAATTGAAAGAACTTCCTCCTAATGATCCTGATTGGTACTACATCCGAGCCGGTAATATCTCTTTCTTATCTTCAATGGAATAAACTTCCTCATGATTTCTTCTGTCAATGAAAATACTTTGAATTTAAAAGATACACTTGTCTGAAAAATCATTTTTGCAGCATCCATGGCCAGAAAGATTTACTTGCGAGGGGGTCTTGGAGTTGGTGCCTTCCAGAGAATTTATGGAGGAAACAAAAGAAATGGAAGTCGCCCACGCCATTTCTGCAAGAGCAGTGGTGCTATTGCTCGTCACATTCTGCAACAGTTGCAGGCAATGAAGATTGTTGATGTTGAGCCAAGAGGGTATGTTTGGTCCTCCCATTAGCTTGTCTGTACATGTTTGTATAATGTACCATGGGCTTTCTGTTGTACACTTTCTCTAATAAGTGTTTACTATTGAATATATTTCAGTGGAAGGAAGATCACATCCAAAGGGCAGCAAGATCTTGATCAGGTCGCTGGAAGGATTGCTGTTTCACCAGTTTAATGATTTCTCTGTTAATTATCTTTTATGTCATGCCTTAAAATTTTGAGACATTTTCTTTGAATACTTGTAGCACTTTTGATCTTCCCATGGGGGTTTGTCTTGAAGCTTGAAATATTAATCTTACAGACATCCAACATTCTATATCTATCATTCTGATTTTCTGGAATCATCTTTCCCCCCTTTTAATCATCTGCAAATTGCGTTATGAACATCATGCATTCCGGGCAACATAATGTTTTTGCTGAAAATTGGCCGTTAAAATTATGAAGTCACCAATCAAGAAAGTTATAATTTTTGCTGCTTCTATCGATCTATCATCTTCTGGAGCGTACTGTTTTTCCATTGGATAGTTTCATAGAAATACTGTATAATGGTACGCCAATCTAATTATGTTATTGATGAAGAGCTGCTAAATCCAGAAATTTTGTATTTGGAATCGTTATTAGAGAATTACAGTTAACAAATTCCTGAACACTAAATTCTTCATGAAAAAATATGCCTTCATAAAAAGTCTATCCCTTATCAGTTATCATTAGCAAGACTACTCGGCAAATTATGTGGTGGGTAGTATGCGTTTTCATGCGATGTTTTTACTTGGATTGAAATTTGCCAGTCTGGTTTGATAAATTTCTAGTCCTGGTGTATTTTATAACTATGAAAGTCTGATTAAATCTATTTAAGTCAGGTCTGGGATGGCACTGAAAGCAGTCCAAGTAAAAGCGTCATGGTTATATTTTTATACATAAATCTTTATTTTACGGATAAACAAACATACATTTAAAAAAAAAATCAAACTTGTGATATATATAAACTGTGATGGTTACTCATTTTCTTAAGTTAATGCCCTAGAAAGACTTGAATGCTACTCTGTTTTACTATGTTTTAAAAAATAAAGAACTTGTCCTCCTAGTATTCCACCATTATCATTGAAATATTCAAGAAGGAAACAACCCAATTTTTTCTTTTCCTTACTTTTTATTCTCTCTCAGATTCTTTATCAAAGACTTTTGCTTTATCACTTTTTTATGCTCTAACTATGCACACATTTTACCCAGTTTTTTTTGCTTCTTCTTATGATAATGCCCTAAAACTGTAAATGTCTTGGTAAAAATATTGTACCATTGATGTGTTTCCATATATATTATTATATATTTATGTATTCTTCACAGATCTTCTTTCGATCTGTTCAGAGAGGTTCCTACTTGAAGAAGAATCAACTACGCACCATCATTTTTCTCAAGGAAGCAATAAAAGGAGTTTTTTTTACGGTTAGAAGCATGTTCTTCCATGCTTTGTCAAATGCTTCTTCTCAAAGTAGTGTTTTTTCCCTCTGAAAGCAATTCTCCTTGAAAATAAGTTATCTCAAACATACTGTAAACCTGCAAACTAGAGTTATGCATGGGATAAGAGTTATGCATTTTCCAGAAAATTCGATTCCTTATAAATACTTGAATGGTACTATGTCTTAATATGTTTTAGATAATGAAGAATCTGTTTCTTCATAGTATTCCACTGTTATCATTGAAATACTCAACAAGGAAACATCCAATTTATTATAAAAATACTAAATTATAGCAACTATGTACTCTTAGTATCATATTCAAAAATTCAGATTAGTATCAATTTTTTTTCTTTTGACCAAGTATTGTTGGTTGTCTTTGTTGCTACATATGCAAAACTCAGTAATTATCCAACTTCATATATTTTCTTTGCAATCTTTAATGTCGTGGATAAAGTGCAACTGAAATGTCTATATACGAGTAACTCTTCTTTATCGGTTGTAAATGATTCAGAATAAAGAATAACTTTCAAATTGATAGCTTATGAGATTTTCCAAATATTTACAGGAGTGGAAATCGGGATGTAGTATTTTTTAACTTAAGCAGATTATTTATTTTATTATTTAGCCTAATCAAATCATTCGGTATCGCTCTTATTTGGATTTAGGGAGTTCAGGCTTATTGGAATCCAAGTTCTATTAGATGAAATTGGAGAGGAGCTACATATGATGATGAGCACAACTGCTTAGTTGTGGTGCATTCCTTATACCTTAAATGCATGCTTAATGTCACTACTTCATGCCAACCTCTTAATTACTATTTTTACCTTGAGATTAATCACATAAGCCCAAGTTTATTGCTCTGAGATTCATATCTTAGGTTAATGTTACGATGATGTTCTCCTGAAAACATTGGCTCCATATAGAGAAAAAGAGTGGAAGGTCCCATGTACTAAGATAGCAGCAGAAGTTACATTGAGTTCCCGGACCAATATGTTTAGAAGTTACATTACATGACTACAAAATGGGGAATAAGACATAAGTCACATAACTAAAACATTGTTATCGGTCCCAAAAATTAGAGACACTGGTTTGGTCCAAGGAACCAAGTCTAAACTGGAGCATTTCTTTTCACGCTACTAATTAGTAATTACTTAATTAAGAATAATAACAGTGATTATAATCTGATTTCCTGCACCTCCAAGCAGATACAGAGAAGAGGGCTCGATCTTGCCAGCATATCACCAAACACCCATTCTCTTCCTTCAAATTATACCCATCACACCTGCAACTCTGCAACAACCTTCTTGCTTGAAACATTGTTACATTGAGAACTCAACCCCACATTCCCGAAACCGGCCGACCCCAAGCTCCAAAACCACCTCTCTAACCTCAACCTCCAAAACTGTCTATGCAATCACTAATTACATGCAACTCATTCACTGAAAAATTGATGGGAGCTTAATATGTAATTTTATTAGTGGAGTTATGTTATTTGTTTTGAAAATCTTTTATTTAGAATGATATTGGCACATGTTGATATATACGTTCAATAGTTATCGGATAATAAATCAGAAAACATTCACAAGAGATCAGATTGTTGAAATCTATTTACTTCCATATTTTTAGGAGAGAACCTATTATGGATGACCACCTTTAGTGGTTTAACAAACACGGTTTGCATCTGCCCCATGAGACTCAAGCTTTAGTGGATGACAAGTAATATGTTATGTAATTGCTTAACGATCAATTCATTTTGTTATATTTTACTCGAAAAAACAAATGTTCAGAACTGTTTGACTTTATACTCTCTTAAACTTGTGAATTACAAGAAATATAATTGTTGTTAAAAGGTAGGTGCATGGTAGTATTTTACTTAGGGAAAGTTCCCGAAATGGGACTAAAAAAGTTCGAAAATTTCAAAATAGGACTGCCATGTTTTTATTCCCAAAATAGGACTAATTACTGCCAAATTTGGAAAATACTGCCATGTTTGAAGTCTGGTACTGCCAAAACATGGCAGTAATTAGTCATATTTTGGGAATAAAAATATGAAAGTCCTATTTTAGAATTTTCAAACTTTTTAGTCTCATTTTGGGTAATATCTCTTTTACTTATAGGCGCCCTAACCAGGATAAGTTGCTTCTAACTTGACTTGAAAAATAAAGTGATATTTATCGGATACCAATCAATATCAACTTTTTCTCATATACTATGGTATAAGATATTTAAAATTGAAAAAAAACATAATTCTCACAAACATTGAGTTTTGTGTAAGATTGCTCACCTAGATTGTATGATAAGTGAGCTGACAGTATACCTGTTAGCTACATATTGAAACAAAGTCTTAAAATTTTTAGTGAAAAATCCTTATGAAAAGAGTATAATAAAGAGAGGTAAATAAATAAGTATGATGCTTATTGCTTAAGGATAATATGTCTTCCTTTTAGCTCACATTATTGCATACTTTCACACTATTTTTCATGAAAATGTTACTGCATAAACTGATTTGGCAGGTAACGGGTCATTCCACGGATGGAATTCCTAATTCCTAAATAGGGCACACAAAATATGGTACAGAACATGAAAAGTAACACTAGCGACAAGAGATTACGAAGATATAAGATGTGAAACATCTAAGCATCACCTTTTATATAAAGAGCTAAAAAACCAGTAAGGAAATCTATAAGCACAACTTATATACTTTATACTTCGATTATTTACTTCAAGAAATTTCACTGAAAAACACACCAAATTATATTTTTGTTAGAAATTATTAATCTCACATGTAAGTATGGCACATACATTAGATAGACATATACATATGTTAGTAGCTATTTGTTCAAGCTATTTATCCCGATTTCTTATTCTAGAGCGATTTGATTTATTATTTTTAGAGAAAAGGGTCAAATAAATCCGTCTACTTTTACAAAACAATCACATAAGTCCATCTACTTGAAAAACAATCACACAAATACATGTACTACTCAAAAACAATCAAATGGGTCTAATGAACTCTATATAACCTACAATAGAGGTTTTACCTTTGTTTCTTTTTCCTTTGCTTTTCTTTTTTCTATTAATTCACGATGCACTTTCTCGTTACTGTTTTCTTCATTTTTCTTTTTTCCATCTTTTTCTTGTTCTTTATATTTTAGTCCCTCCGTTCTTTTTTATTAGTCTTTCTTTCCTTTTTGGGACGTTTTTTTTATTTGTCTCTTTTCGAGAAAATACCCTCACTTTTATTACTTTTACCCCACTTACTTTTTACAAACTACTTTCTCTTTCCTACTTTACCATCACTTTACTCTTCTTAATACACTCTCTTTCCTACTTTATCATCACTTTACTCTTTTTAATATACCATCTTTCCTACTTTATCATTTACCCTACACATTCTATACTTACCCTACTAATTTATTATTAAATAAATCCCGTATCAAACCCTACTAATATAGAGTATTTTTCTTCCTTATTCTTGCTCGCTCTGTACACCCGTTGTCTCTCCTAAATTATTTGTCTTTTTTTCATTTCCTTCGTTATTTCAATTAGTGGAAAGTGAAATTTATAATACGGAGTATCTCAGTTACTATTCATATTAAATTAGTCCACTTCCATTGATTTTTATAAATATCACCCATGGTCTCATTTGTAATAAATTTTGTTTTCATCATTAAAATTAAACTGACAACATTTTTACCCTTGACACGAATAAAATTCCACGGAGTACTTGACAAGGTAAAAAACATACGAAGTATATACTACATGTAATATTTCTTCTTTTGGGTTGCATCAATTTCATTATCTCATTTGTCAACACACGAATTTGATCATTAATGTATTTCATTTTTTATTAGTGAAAAATTATAAATTCAAATTTTGAAAAATTAAAATGAGAGGACTTTATCAATATTTTTCAAACTTAAATTTATAATACATTAATAACTAAAATATAGTACAATAGAACATGTGAATAGTGTAAAATTCAACATGTTGTAACTATAAAAGAATGCAGGTAGTATAATCCTTGTACACAAAAAACTATGCACTAACAATTGTGCAATTAAAAAAATGCCGATGCAAATAATTTTGAAAATATGTCAGAAATACAATTTTGTCTATGTTAAAAAATTACAGTTTTTGGATTTCTTCCTTAAATA